CCCAAATTTCTGTCTGTACCCCCAAGCATAAGAACCCATTGGGGTTCGGAGGCAAGGGAACAAGTATCACATGTGTCACAATGCAAACTCTACCTCTTATGCACTTGTGTGTGATGAAAGGATAGAACTTGTTTCATGATGTGATGTCACGTCGGCTTCATTAGGCTAGCAGATACTCACAGTGCTATGTAGGAACTGTTCTAATTCATACTCCATTCTTCTGCCATGCTAGGTGAGCTTGGGATGATGGAAGCAAACTAAATCTGAGTGTGAGATGTCGGGTGATGTAGAGATTTGTATGAAGCCTAGGTTTAAATCTCAACTTGCTTATTATTCAACCTTGTTTGTTTCACATGGCTATTGTGGAGATGGTACAACATTGTAAATAGGAGTGGTGTGTGTGGGCAAATGTGTAGGAATGTGTTGGGAAAAAGTCAAGCTAAATTAAATGAAGGACTTAATAACAAGATATGCAAGAAACACATGTGGACATTATTCAAGTTGGCTAACATTATTTTGGTAGTGTAAAATAGGTTTCCAATTAACAAAAATAGGCTTCACAAAAAATTTAGCACATCCATATAGAAGACAAACGGGTTCAGGTTTTTACTTCATAAATGTGGAAAGGTTGTTTCTCTATTCAGAATAGTTAGGTGTGCATAGGATTACAATTCACAACTAAGATGAATATTTCCACATATATTTGATGATCCAAAGCACTATGACACTCAAATCCAATTATTTGGAACAATGAATCTGCATGAATTATTGCTCACATCCTACTTTGTAATGAACATTTTGAGGTTCAACCTACTGTGAGAACATAAAACATAATATTTTAGGATCTTGTGTGCACTCAACCAACATATTAAGCTACAATGTGGTTTCTTTGCTTAGACATGACAGGCTATGTGAACATAATAATGGTATTTGGTGGTGGAGGTCAGTATTTTGCATTCTGTAAATTCATCTGCTGTTTTTACCCTTTAGTCCAGCAGAGGTAGACATGCCTTCCCAAGCTAATTTTCACTTAGCTTCTTTTAGCCTCATTACTTCCTACAAAGTCCCTGCCTCTCCTTATTTTTTTATAAAACTTGATTTTTACTTAACAGAGCTGCCAAAAAGAGTAAGGTTTCTTTTCAAACCAGCTGGGCAGAATGCCACATTCAATCCTAAAGCATCAGCTATCCCTGGGACAGATAATTGGAAGGCGACTGCACGCTTACATTTGGACAATGTTTTCTTTGAATGAGTGATTAAAATCTATTGTCAATTATTGTATTGATGTTTTGGGATTTGAAACCATAGTTTACCATTTATGTAGAAGTCTGTATAATTCGCTTCAGTGTCCATAAAAAAGATTTAGTTCCTCCTCTCAAATTGTTTAATGGCGTCTCCTGTGATATCATAGCTCCTCATTTGCACACACATTTATGGTATAAAATATAAGCCATCCTGCAGCAGCAAGAGATTCATTAACTTATGTTGTCAACAATAGTATTAAGAAAGGGATGAGGACTATACGTTATTTTCTCCATTCTAAATCAGGTTAAGTAAGGACAATGGATTAGACTGCAAATATAGTGGATCACCTGGTTAGCTGCTGCAAGATCACACACACTGAGTACAAACAATGGCATGACAAAGTAACAACAATGGTGCATTGGAAGATCTGCAAGAAATACCATTTGCCTGCAAGCGAGAACTGGTGGGACCACAAAATAGCCAAAGTAATAGAAAATGAAGAAGCTAAAATGCTCTGGAACTTTCGAATTCAAAGAGACAAGCACCTGCCATATAACAATGCAGGGTTAACAATTATTTTTAATTATTTTTTTAAAAAACCAGAAAAAATTGCAGTCCAATCTCTTTTGTTTGGCTTTTTCCCCCCAGAGCTCTTCCTCTACCAAATGAGTCTGCAGGCAGACTGCCCAACTGCCAGTAAAGAATGGCAGTTGGATAGTCTCATAAAGGGACTGAACCTACCTAGAAGTTCATTTTATTTCGCACCACATGGCAAATTAGCTTTCTTGCTAATTAAGATTAAGTTTTATATGTGCTAATTGCCCTAGGTGCACTTTAAACTGCACTTTAAATCTTTAATTAAATGAAGGTAATATTCATAAATCATGCCATGGGAAACTTCCCCCCCAAAATAGTGCTTTGACTTTCATTATGTTTACCAATGTATAAGAAAAGATATAAAAACAGCTTTAAAGCAAAGGATGTTGTGGCAAATTCTTGTTACTTAGAACAAGCTTCTCTAACCGGAATCCTCCACTTATGTCAGAAGAGCAATTCACCAACACTTCAATTTAACATGGTCAAAATGCCAGCTGTCAACTCCGTCACCTTTTGAAATTGTCAGAAATTATCATCTGATAAGATCAATTCAATATCTCCAATTAATCCTACAAAAATGTAGGCCAAATAGTCATAGGCAAGCCAAAATCTTCTATCACTCTCTTCTTCTCAATGCCAGATAATGATTTACAGGAAGATTTAGTAGAACATTTAATTTTTAAGCATTTGTCCATTACGATTATTTGATAGGTGCCATTATAAATACACCAAGAAATCAGTTTCGAACAAATCTCTGCATAAGTTCTATTGCATTTTTGTGGTTCCCTGGAAGTCATGGCATTTCAATAAAAAAACTCCTCTTATCTTGCAGAAGAACTACATTAAAAAACAAACACATTTGGTTTTTCAAAGCATGCACATTTAAAATCAGACTCATCCAAGGACGTGTATCCAACTTATTGTGCACTATACCTCATCATGCTCATTTTGTCTTAAAAGGCAACTTCATGTCAGGTAATTATATCTAATAGTCCACAGCTAGCTCCTGCTACTCAACCTGTATAGCATCACAAAATAAACTCTTACTATGCTTTGGCAAGTTTGGCTCTAGCAGTGGTTGAGTGCCATCTAGAGAAGGAAAGGTGAACTAATCCATGCTAAAGAACAACACAAAGCCAACACTTGAGAATGGAATGCTAGAAAAACAGAACAGAGCTACAATATAGAGCTGCAACAGTGAAACTGATTGAATTTCTTATATGTTAAAAAGAATTCAATGGTTAACTATATATCAAAGCTTTGGAATTTGTTTATCAGGAATTATGGTTATATCCAGGGTGGAGGCAGCTGAAAGAAACATGTTGAGGAATTGGAATGTGGTATTGTTCCAAGATGTCAAGGAATGGTTGTCAAAAATGGGTGATCTAGCTCTTTTGGAAAAGGTAGTACGTTTCTACAAGTCAAACAATGCAGCAATGTGATACTGTGACAGACATGTTGATATTTTACAATCACATTTTATTTTAGTTTAGTCATTAATAAACCAGTGAAAATTGGTAAATGACCAATAGTCTGAAAGGTCTTTTTTTTTCAGAGATATTTCATTACCAGATTCTTCAATACCTTCGAAAATGACAAAAATTCTAATGTACTGCCTTCAAATTGAGATACAGCCAGAGATGTGCTCATTTTGAAAATAGCCCGTGTTGAACTAGAGCAGGGGTAGGCAACCTTGGCTCTTTTATGACTCGTGGACTTCAACTCCCAGAATTCCTGAGCCAGCATGGGAGTTGAAGTCCACGAGTCATAAAAGAGCCAAGGTTGCCTACCCCTGAACTAGAGAACAGTCAAACATCAGCATAGGTTTGTTTCATGACATTTTCTATGATCATTTTTCTGTTATAAAATACCGTATTTTATAAAATTTCAATTCCACTGTGTCATGGGTCTCCGATTTTGGATCCTTTATGTAAGTTAGCCATTTGAGGTACCTTGGTTCAAACATTATTGCCTTATGATGCACCACTTTGGCCAGTTAATGGTTACAGAAATAAGAGTTTTAGTAATATATAGATAAAGTATGAAGTAGTTTTTTTCTTTCTTTTCTTTTTTTAGTTTGTATTTTTAGCTTGTTTGGGATTGTCTCTTTTCTAATTTTTAAAATTAGCTTTAGACTGTTGTTGTGTATGCATAAAACAAATAAATGAAAATCAGTGGAAGAAAAGAAATTTTACTTACTTTAAAAATAAACATTTTTCAGAGGTGCAAATAATTTGTTAGACTGGAATTTATAGGGTATTGTTTTTGTAATGACCTATTTACCCCAGTGAGCAGAAAATCAATTTTAGGTAAGATTATTTGGGCATGGAAATTTATATTCTAGTTTATAAGACATGAAGACTGTTTCAAGTATCATGCACACCAATAAGAAACATAGATTAAAAACCAGGGACAACAGCAATTCTCATAGCATCACAACTTATTCCATGCTAATGTTTTTGATCTAAAATGAAATGTTAACAAAAGAAACCAGAAAAGTAATCCCAGGCAGTCCAAAGTTTATTTCTCATAGGTGAGAAACAAAAGTATGTACGGTATTGATTTTATATAATCTTTATATGTAGTAGTGCCTTCAGCTCAGGTTGAATATTGGCAGCAGCAAGGTTTGCTCATTCTTACACTATGTCCTTCTTAGCCTTCATTCTCTTTGTGGAAATCTCTTTGCACCAGATCTTCCTTCCCCCCCCCAAAAAAAAGGCAATCCCCCACCAAAAGATGACAGATAGAGCAGTATTGCAATGTCCATAGGAATAACACTTTTTTAAAAAACAAATAATCCCACATTAAAAAGTAATTCAAAAACAATCACAACAAACTGGATTGTATACTAATCTTAAAATGTTTTGAAATGGAACGAGGCAACAGGGAAGTCAGAAGGCAAGTCTAGAAATCTACAAACAGGAGCAATTTTGCATCCTCCAGAATTTTCAGTATAAAGTTAATAGCAGTGTATCTCTTCAATTCAGCAGCAATGAAGAAAAAACTTGGATCTGACAGATCTGATTTAGAATACACAGCTTCCCCTATTTCTATCAGCCTAGGTCTAATTGCCGTGGAAGGTAAAGCATATCATCCCTGCAGGCTAATGGTGCTTTGAGGCAATATATTTCATTAAAGCTAACCAATACAAAAAAGGCCATAAATGAAGATTTTATTGGATTTCTGAAAAGTGGAAAACTAACATGAAAGTGTCAGATCACAGATGTCCTTCCTGTCCCTGAAAAGAGTTAATTACAGAGTGCTCATCTACTCAGCTTAGTCATGCATCTTTTAACATGCCATATTTAGATATTTTAAAAATATTTCGGCCAGAATCCAAGGTTTGCGCTGAAGCATTACAAGAATGCGGAGAGGCAATTGCTGCTGGTGGTCTTCCACAGGCATATCCCCTGATCCAACATTGCAGGACCAAGAGATTGAAAAACCTATCCCTTATACATGGATCACTCCATCTCAGTATTAGGGAATATTAACATAAACTCTAGTTTTGCAAGATAGATATGGATGCCCGTCCTGTGTACAATAAAGATACCCACATACGTCATCTATAAAATCAGTATATTGTATATTAAACTGTACTGTGAATCTAATGCCCAATCTCTAGCAAGGTGAATAGGAATCTTATAATTGACTTTAGCAGAGCCAAGATCCTGCAGGCCCCAGTATCTGCAAAACAAGAAAGGCTCTTTGAAAAAGTGAGAATTATTAACCTCAAAATATTTTTGTTTTAAATGTTCCTAAGGACAGTAAAATTGACCAGCTTTGATCCTGAATATAAAGGGAGGAAAACAACTGGCCTGTTTTTCTGCAACTGACGAATAAAGAAATGGAACTTGGTGAGTGAACAGATATTTGAGAATTATGCAAATATGTGTATGGAATGATCAATTCACAATTTTCAAAATATGAATGAGAAATCAGCTTCACTTGGATCCCCCTGCCCCACCCCAACATGCACAGATTTAGCAAAGTTGCAGCAAATAGGTTATAGCAGTTTTTAATGCAAGGGTCAGACATTTATGAGTGGAAAAAAGGCAGCTTTCCACAGCTTAGCAGCTGCAGTGTTACTATTCAAAAAAGCAGAACTTCTGTAGCACACAAGGTGGTGTGGATTGTGGTGGCCTTTTTCTATGTACAGTCCTTTGATTTGTATGCTGAAGCCTTTACAACAGATCAGACCTTGGGTGCATAGCCTGTAGCATTCTCAAAGCTAGCAATAGGGGGTTCTTATTTAACTGGTTACCTTGGACAAGACTCTTGGCATAACCTGACCCACATCCCACATGGGACACACAAAGGAAGTCAAGGCAAAGAAAATGCAGAATTATTTCATTTCTGAATCTTAACATTTAATATTTCATTTCCTTTTCAGGGAATGTCTAAGAATTGACATTAAAGATTTATTCTATGATTATTTCCTAAGAAACAAAAAGGAAAAAAATCCAGGAAGACTCTGAATGAGTTTGTGTATAGTGTTCCTTGTTTTCTTTTTTCCTTTCCTTTTTGTTTAAATAGCAATGGTGCTTTATTAGGCCAAGGAGATTGTTGTAAAACCGTCAGCATGTATTTGGCTTTAAATCTAAGGTCAACTTTTACTATTGTTTGTCACAAGGCCTACATGATATACTTCAAAGAAGGAACAGTCTTATGGAAAATACTGTAGCCGCCAGAAAACAAAGGGCTATACGCTTAGGTAAATATCTGTTCCTGTGTTAATAAGTACTCTATGGACACAATCCATACATAATAGGATTGTGAATTCAAGGCATTCAACAGAATTAAATATTGTTTTTTTAAAAAACACTACAAAAAATTTGGAATACGCTTTGTAATACTCAGCAGTTTCAGATTCAAAAATGGAAGTGCTGCTTCCTAAAACTGAATAGCACAGAAGGGCTTAGTTACCAAAAGCAAAAGCAGTTATAGCAATCAAAAAGTTATGCTGAAGAACACAAAAATGCAAAACGAAATGTAAAAACTCACAGCCATGGGCATATAAACCAACTGGCTGACAGTTAACTTTGGATCATACTTCTCAACTAAACAAGATCTTCATAAGGCATACACGCTACCACAAGACCTCTCCAGACCAAGCAACTGCTTTGCCTTCGAAACCTTTTCAACTGTCTTGAGTGTCGAATGCAGAGAGTCAAGCCAATTAACGGCAAGGGACAGCAGCTAATGATTTGCAATACACAGATGAATTCCCTCTTAACAAAGCCCAAGGCCTCCAATGACTGAAGAGTTTGTTCCCTTCAATCTCCTCCTCATCTCTTGTTGACCTTCAAGTAGGAAATTCAGATCCAGGCCGTCTTCCTTCTTTGCTCTCAGGCACGATTCTGGGACAAATCTAGAAACTGACAGTCTCTCTCTCTTTCTCTCTCTCTTTCTTTATCTCTTGCCAACCCCATTCGTTACTTTTGTTTTTGAATGACGATTTCTCCTCCTGGATGAATGGCTGTCACTGTTGCTTGAGTGTTTGGGTGGACTGTCTTCCATTCCTAACAAGCAATTTGCACATACACAAAAGCACACAAGAGATAATCACTTAATTTATTGTTTGGTTTGTTTTTTCAGTCAAGAGAAATTCTGGATTATGAATGCATATTGAAAGTTTAGTTGAGACCAACATGCCATCTAGTGGTTAAGCTGCCCCCTAACTAATTTTACAAGCCATTAAGTGACCTGATTATTGTGGAATACTCATGTGGCTTTCAGGCAACTCCATGAAAGATCTGCTAGGCCAAGCTCCTGCTGGACAGATGTACTTTATGGTAATTTTATATATTATGAAATTTTATATAGTTTTAAATATAGTACTCTACATAAATGTTAATTATTGTCACATTTTTGTAATGTGTATGAAATAGTATTAAGCTAGATATATTTTGCTCCTTTGGAACTTAACTCACAATTCTAGACAGGTTTTTTATAGATATATTTTAAATATGATGTTAAGAATAAATGAGTTCTATCACATATACAGGAGAGTATCTTTGGAAAGAAGCCATTGGCATCCTTCAACTATCCAGAAAGACTGAAGCAAAAGGTGAATTCCTTCCCTGCTGCTGTTAATGTAGGTATGGAAAATGCTTGAGTGCTATGAAGTTGAGAAACTACTTTAATCATTCAAAGAAGATTCTTTTTTCTCAAGAGTTTTTCACATCCTGTTTTGGTGCGAAAGTCTACTACTGAATACGGATCCTTCCACCTATTGAACACGGGGCTACAGCAACTATTTAAATTATTAAGTATATTTGTTGCACCTTAGTTTATTATTGCATAAAAAGTTAGTGAGTTACAAGCTACCTCAATAACTAAAGGCTGTGGAGTAAGGTTTCCGTGCATATGGTAGGACTGATTGACCAGGAGCCACAAATATTTACATTAGCCTTTTACAATTCCTCAAAATCTTCTGGAATAGACTGCTCAGGATAGTCAAGAATTTCTCAATAGATAAAATAATGCATAGTTAGATAAAATCCCTTTAATTCTTGAGATAATTACAACAGATCTTAAGAATAATATAAAGATCATCAGGCAGCAAAGAGTATGAAAGTAGATTCACAAATGATTCCTGAAAATTTTAATTAAATGGAATTTGGTGTTATTGATACAACGAATAAATATACTAGAGCAAGTGACAGTACCTCTAGTGGTTTTAGGATTATGCCAGGAAGCATCCGGGATGTACAAACTATCCTCACTTTCCGACAATGTCTGTTACGATAAATATAATAAGATATGTTTGAGAATACTTGTAGCAAAGAAACACTATTAGTTTAATAACTGAGATAACTAAGTTAAATTTTTTAATTTCTTCTTCAATTATACAAATTTAATCAATAAGTGAGAAAGGAACCCTTGCTCTCGTCTGTTACTGTATGCAGATGTAGGAAATAAGCAGGCTGAGCCCGAGGGAGGGATCAAACACGTCATCAGTCATGAGTCCCTGCATGCCCACATGAGATCTAAGTCCAGCCCACCTTGAAAGCCTTCTCTATTCTCACTCATTTCCCTTGACCGTTAGTAGCTCAGATTCATGTAGACAGCTTAGGCTTGCAATAAATCTTTATACTCATTTGAACTGCCTGAATCTCCTCTTGACAGCAATCCTGTTCAACATCATCTTTTGCCCTTCTGTTCAAATACAGATCACTGATAATTTCCTCTCCAACTCTACTCTGCACGAAAAAGTACGTGGAATGCAGAAAAAGACAACCAGGAACAGATTTAGGCCTAAGAATTTTGCCTCAGTCATAGAAGAGACCTCAGAAATGGTGAATCTGCATCTTTGCACATCAACCAAATTACCATTTCCCTCCGTTTTTGTAGCGCTTGGAATCAAAAGCCTTCAGGAAGTTAAAAGCAGAGAATGGCATTTAATAAAAGTATAATCTAGTCTCCCTTCCCCAAATAGTAATAAAAATAAATTAAATTTAGACACAAATTATGTCTCTATATGAAAGTTCACCTAAATGTCAACAGGTTATGGCTAACATATTTTAACATGTTTATCCAGAGGGCAACAGTCTATAATGCAAGAAATCTCTTGAGCCAAGTTCAGCATTTCCATAGACATTACCTTTTCTCGTCCATAATGGTCGGCAAACCACACCATCCCATACAAACACAGAAAAGTAGTAACTGCCTATAATAGAAGAAAAAGAAGATGTCCTTGAGTTGCTCTTTTAATACTTATTTTTAAAGGGGATTTATGCCCAATCTCTCATGGTATGACATGACTTGTCAAAAGAGACAATAATGACAGTATTAAAACTGGAGGTCTTTTTTTACAGCAGTCAAAAGTGCTGCTAATATTGCAACCCCAGTTTTTTTAAAGTAATGTGCACTTTTCCTTGTCTGTCCTGGCTTTTACTAGGCAATAAGGCTTCTTATGTATATGTAGACCTATGTTTGAATCTAAGGTCACTTAAAACACTAAAACAAATACAGGACACTGTAGTGCAACCCTTTATACTAACTTCAATATTTTCAGATGATTTATGAGCACTGATTTTTGTTCTTTGTGCCATGCAAATACATTTGGACAGCTGGCTTTCTAAATAAATTAATCAAAATCAACAATTAGAACAGATTCAAGAGACTATCAGACTAGCCCCAACTTTGTATGGCTATGTATTAAGGATGAAGAGTGGGCACTGCTAAAATGAAGAATACTACAGGGAGCCTTCACAAGGACAAGAATATGACAGAAGCTTTGTATACAACTGTCTATGGAGATTCTCAGTCATCTAGGTCATGGTTATCCCAGAGGTGCTTTTTCAGGAGGCAACTGGACTTTCTTGATTATTATTATTTTTTGAAGAAGTTTCGCTTCTCATCCAAGAAGCTTCTTCAGCTCTGAAGAAACTGAAGAAGCTTCTTGGGTGAGAAGCGAAATGTCTTCAAAAACAAACGAACAAGAAAGTCCAGTTGCCTCTTGAAAAGGCACCTTTGGTACATTTCTATACAAGTGCATCACTATGCAGATATTCAAGAAGAAAAGCAGCAGATTGTGAGATTTGTACTAGAAACTAGAAGGAAAGATCTTATTTCCAGTGAAAGAAATCTCATTCTGATCTCCTGCTGGCTTTTGGTGCCAAATTTTGGAATGATGCTATGAATGCCCTCTTAAAATGGCTACCAGGATAGAATTAGTTTACCATGAGGAAACAATCTTTACAAAGCACAGATTTATCAGACTTCGGTAGTACCAATTTCTATGACTCCTGCTTATGTTATCTTAAAGAAATAAAATTATGAATAGGGCTATGATTAAGTTTTTATTAATTGTGTTGATCATGACTTTGATCCAAATAATTGATCGCCCCTTTCATTGTAAAAGTTTGCATTTTGGTCTGAAGACTGTTGCATTTTTAATTTTTATTCTTATTTATTGTTTTTTCCAAGTAGTAAGCCACTGAGAGTCTGCTTTGTGTTAGGCTGTAAACATGATATATAAATATTGAAGAAATAAAGAAAATCTTTGTATACATAAATTTCTAGAGCAGATATAAGCAGGTTTTTGCATTCTGGCTGTTTTGGACTCTCACAATTCCTATCCTGAACAAAGTTGAATTATAAAATATCTGCAGGATTGATTGTCCTTCATCCTGTCAGAAGGATCTTTCCCTGTTATATGAGACAATTAATATTTGGTGATAGAACATACCATTGTAATTGTTCATCTGTATTAAACATTACAATCTTATTATGAATTTGTCAGCATGTATTTGGTAAAAACATTAGTTATTTTCCTATTTAGCCATCTTAATCAACAAAGGCAACTGAGAAAGATGCTATTGAAAAAAAAGTGTTTCAATGAAACAGGACACCTATCTAAAAAAAGGTTGGTGCTATCCTAGTAAAATTTGATATAGCAATTACCTATGTTTGAGTGGAAGAAGGGAATGAACACAGCATTTGTCCTGGTTATAACAACCAAGGGGTTAAAAACAACTTGTCTTAAATAGATAGGTGATTTCTGGAAGGTGTTGTGCCAGTACTTCTGCAAGGTACCATGTTAAGAAACTGGGTTAAAATATAAATGTGTGTGCAACCTAAATGAGAAAAGATGCACTTACCACACAAAGAAACCAAAATACCACATACAATATTTGTGTTTTGGAGAAGAGATCTTGACCAAACTTGATGCATACAATAGCTTCAAGGAAACCAATAACTCTAGAGGATGACAAAAAAAAATCAAAATATATTGAATTTCTGTTTGAGACTCTGTTTAACCTGACAATCTCAGTTTGTTTTGGGCATATTTTGAGAAATATTTTCTCATCACTGTCATGTTATGAATCAGAAAGCAAGATAAAGGGATCATCCAAAAAATATATTACACACCTAATTGGATCACGGTGTTTTAGATTGAACTGGCACTGCTTTTTTTCTTTCCTTTTCCTTCCACAACATATTTTCTCATAAGTTTATGTTGGCCTCTTTCAGTGTTTTAACAATGTAATACTTTCTCACTATGTAATGAAGCTAAACTATCTATACTGACCAGAATATTAATACCCATTTTTAAAACCTCTCTTCTTGATTTCTAATGGATGCAAATATAAAGAATCTGCTTTCCTCCTGATGATAAAGTCTGCCATGACTGCAATAAAATAAAAGGCAATAAAAAAACAGTCCTGAGTCCCGTAGACCATTTGTCACCAGATGTCCAGGAACTCTGATGCCTAGCACAGTCTTTGTTGTTGATGGTGAAGACCCCATCCAGTATGGGTTTCTGTTAATTACATCTCACCATATTGTTTATGGGAGAGACACTCTTCACCTGACTCCTCTGATGAGACCTGTCCAGTGTGGTTGAACTTCTCATCTACTTTACAGCAAATAACTACGTCAAGATAGTACCTCACTGGGAGATTACTGTTATTATTATTGATTGTTTCATCATATACTATGAGCTGCCAAGAGTCTGCTAATTTGATTGCCTCAGCTGTCAAAATATATTAATTTGGTCTAGCACCTCTCCATTCTACATCATTTTAAAATCACTGATACTATCTAACAAAGATTCATTTCGGAAAGCAAGACTATTCTTTGAAGATGAGTCTCTTGTCTCTCTACCTTTTTTGTCAGAAGAATGAGTAATAGCTATTCTGAATACACTTACAAGAGACACTGAGGATAGATCAGAACAAAGCAAGTGATGACAGAAAAATGTTCCCAACGACATCCAAGTCAGCTGAAGAAATCAGCATGTTTCTACCACATCTAGTGTAAAGCAAGCTTTTCCAAAAAGCCATACTAGTTTGAATCCTGCTATTTCTGTAACGTCATAGTATGAAAAACTTTTGAAAGGCTAACGTATTTTAGATGGGTATCGTTTGCTTTCTTCTCTTGTATTTGCATGTAAGAAAGGAAATAATGATTTCAAGTGATGGCCAGAAATAGGTCTAGATATCATACAATTCAGTCCAAGCTTTCACATACTTTCTCCAACAAACGAGAGTGCAGTTGGAGAGTCCAACAAGCAGCAGCAACCAATCCAAGTTGCTGGGCTGTCTTCTTTAGCATCAAAGTGGTTCCAAAAAGAGAGCCAAACAATATTTGGGAAACTAATTCTTCCTCAATGCTCAAAGGATGGGTTTTTATATTTTTGCTGAAATCAGAATTCCATTAGAGCCCTCCTTACAAATGAGTAGAGTATATAAAAGTTAAGCAACAGAAAACCTAGAAGCTTGAGATCCACAAGCAGAAGTTGGCCAAGGGGGTTGGATCATTCTTTCCTCCTTCCTGCAGCCTCCTATAGACATGGAAAACCCCCTCTGGAGAGTCAAATGACTCCTCAGCATGGTGTCCAATGGGGAATAATAGCAATGGAAAAAGGAAATTGCGAAAACACGTGAATGTTATCCTATCTCTCAACAGGACTTAGGATTCTTCTTTATGCCACTGTAAGTCATACGGACACTACAAAACACATACAAGCAGTAAAGTGAACTATAGTCTGGTAAAATATCTAACTCACAACAAACGTTTAAACCACATGATTTGAGGGGAATTGTTTCCTCTTCTTAATTAAACAGATTCACAGATCATGCCATGGATTATTTTTAACTATGATATATTGAATTAGTTTACAAACTATGGTTTCCAAACTGGAATGACCAAACTTATACAGCATGCTAAGCCAAAAATCATCTGGTGGCGTAAAACAATGCATGAACCCAGCCAGTAAGTCAGATAAAAAGAATTTCAAGAATTCTATATTCAACAACTTACCCAAATACCCAGCACTGAGTTCCTACTCTTTTGCACTGTGTGTCTGTGAGGTAAGCATAGTACTGCCTGTAACAACAAAAACGATAATATTTTTAGAGAAGCAGACAATGGCATATTAAGTGGTTGCCTGTAAATCTGTTTTACAGGGGAAATTATTACTATTTTTTCAGTGACTGTTTGAAATTACAACAACACTGAACAAATGGCACTTATGCCTGGTCCTGAAGGTATGGCTTTTGCAGTGCCCTTGTGGTCACATGATCAAAATTTGGGAGCTTGGTGTGCCCTGCAAGGACGCTTCAACTCTCCCACACATCTCCTCCCATCTCTGCTCTTTTGCCCCATACTGCAGCCATCCACGACAATACTAAGTCCCTGCAATGCCCAGCTGATCTTAACCACCTTTCTACCTCTGCTGTCGAGAAGTATCCAGCTTGGCCATATGTGAGGCCATTGCTAGCCAGGCCAGGCCTTTTTCCCGAGGTCACTTGTGTTTTTCTCCAAACAGTATGCCCCATTCTCTCATTTCAGAGAGTCTTTGGAATGTATCTGAAGTCTTCTGAAGCATCACAAGAATGGGATGTGCTATGTGGAATGCTAGACTGCATTTATTTATAGGACCAAATCAAAAGCTTAAAAATACGGAACTATTAATGTTAGCCACCAAATTAATAATTGCGCAACACTGAAAATGTCTAGATAACATAGCAATTGAGTTGTGCATTAATAAGACCTCTGTCATGTGTCTGATTAACGAAACACTTAAAAGGACTTTCAGGCATATTTTTCCCTAAAAGCATTTATTAAGGTTACAGAGACGTCAGTACAGCATGGTGGAAATGCTTAGGTTTGGCTTCTTTTCCGTTACGCATATACATTCTAAGCATTTCCCTCCCCCTTATTTTGGGGTCATGGTTCACATCTTCCAATCAACTTGGAAGATGTGATTTACTTCCGGTATCTTTTTCCCGGGCTATCCTTATTCTCCTCCCTTTTTCCCTGTTGCCTGGTTTAACTATAAAAATATCAGACAGTTCTGCATATTGTCAAAGCAAGAATATACAGTATTTGCAGCGTTGACAACCTCTTCAATTGCTACATTAGGACAAAATTGCTACATTAGAAAAAAATTACAAGCAAAGTTAAATTAATGAGATATTAGAAGCAAGAACCATAATTATATCAAACTTGGATGGTTTTTATAATTTATCTCAATAGCAATAGACTATAATCTGGTATACCCTATACCTATGGCAAATTTTCAGTTGTATAATACCTATCTCTTTATTTACATTGCACTAGATCTCCTTGGCATTCTCAATATGTATGCTGAACCATCATTAATGTTTTTTTTTCTGTAGCAGGCTTCCATCTCTACATATGAAGGAACTAGGTGAAGATTTACAATGATGAACGTAAAACAGTCAAAAATTACCTCACAGTTGGTGCTGTAATAATTCCAATGAAGAGAATCCTACCCCAGCTTAAAGAGTGACTTGCTTGAAAAACAAAGATATGTTTCAAGAAAAAGGTGTTCAACTCTGTCAACTAAAAAGAAAGAAGCAGGGAGAAAAATCAATATATTCATCTGGACAAACAAGACAAAAACAGAGCCATAAAACAAGTTTGGCTCATTCCAGAATAATAATATATACTTAGTTAGTGAATGCATAGCTATTTAATTATATAGCGAATTGGTTAGCTAATATATGGTATATATGAAATCAATATATACAGCATTTATGTAGCAGCGAATGAAGAATTTGCATTGTATTTCTCTCCATTAGAAGAATGAGACTGGTTTTAAATGATCACGTTTTACTGATAAAAGAAAACACATTCATTTTTCTCTTTTATTATTCTGGTATTATGAAATTATAGATGTTCTGGAACAATACATAACTGGATGATATGGTGGGGGGGAGTGCCAGAGACTAGATTTGTACAATGTGCTAAACTAGGGGTCCCCAACCCCCGGTCTCTGGACTGGCACTGGGCTGCAGCATACCATCCCCACGGGATGCAGACAGGACATAAAACCATGCCCCGTCCGGTCCGCAGAAAAACCTCTCTGCACAGAACCGCCCCTGGTGCCCAAAAGGTTGAGGGCCGCTATGCTAACCCATGGTTTGTAAGCCTAATATATTAAAATAACCCACTTCATCCGTCAATCATACAATAACTTCATCCGTCGATCATACAAAACCATAAACTAATTTACAAACTAGGTTCAATGGAATCAAACAACCACGCTGTTTTAGCCCAAGTGCAAGCCTGATCTGAATGTTGGCTATGGTGAGGAAAGTGTTTATATGACAGCAGCTGTAATCAGTTAATCAGAGCTGGAAGAGACCTTTGAGGTCTTCTAGTCCAACCCCCTATTCAAGAAGGAGACCCTATACCATTTCAGATAGGTATGTCCAGTCTTTTCTTTAAAACCTTCAGTGATGAAGCACCTACAACTGCTGAAGGCAAGTTGTTCCACTGGTTAATTTTCCTCACTGTTAGGAAGTTTCTCCTTAATTCTAGGTTGCTTTTCTCCTTGATTAGTTTCCATTGTTTCTTGTCTTGCCTTCTGGTGCTTTGAAAAATAAGTTGACCCCCTCTTCTTTGTGGCAGCCCCTCAAATACTGGAATATTGCTATCATATCACCCCTAGTCCTTCTTTTCTCTAGATTGGCCATACTCAAATCCTGCAACCATTCTTCATATATTTTTGTCTCCAGGCCCTTAATCATCTTACTTGCTCTTCTCTGCACTTTTTCCAAAGTATCAACATCTTTTTTTGTAATGTGGTGACCAAAACTGGATGTTGTATTCCAGGTGTGATCTTACTAAGGCATTATAAAGCGGTACTAATACTTCACGTGATTTTGATTCTATGCCTCTGTTTACACAACCAAGGATTGTATTAGCTTTTTTGGCTGCTGCCAAACTCTGCTGGCTCATATTTAAGTGATCATCCACTAGGACTCCAATGAATGAACAATGAATCAATGAACAGGACAGGAATCTTGTGGCAGGAGGGAGAGCAATAAAGAAAAAGAATTAGTTTGAAGATGTGTCTATCAATTAAGATTAACAGTATAACTCTTCAACTTTTGCATAATAAAAGTAGGAATAAATACTTGTGGGGAAAAAAAATAAACGTTAAATCAATAAAAATAATAAACGTTAAATCATTTTAGGAAAATGCTAAGTAGTTGGATGTATTACATAAGTACAGTATTTAAAAACAGGTAGCATTGCTTCCTGTATTAATAATTTGCCTACTTAGCTGATCAAGTTAGCAAATTATCTCACAAGGAGATCATAATGTTATTATTTCTTTTGTAAATACTCAAACCCTTTGAGTTTATCTGAAGAGAATTATCACGCTTGAATCATTCCTTATATGCACAACTATGGCACTCCTGCTTTGTAACAAATATATGTATATCTAGCATTTCCCTGGAATTCAAGCCAGCAAATGATATTATTTCATTTGGTTATGCATTAACACAGGGTCCTCAAACCTGGCCACTTTAAGACTTGTGGACTTCAACTCCCAGAATTCCCCAGCCAGCCATGGCTGGCTGGGGAATTCTGGGAGTTGAAGTCCACAAGTCTTAAAGTGGCCAAGTTTGAGGACCCCTGCATTAACAAAACAAATATAATCTGCTCCCCAACAAAACATCAGCTAAGTCTTCATTTATATTTTACCTGCCAGATGATCATGAAAAGGTATATCCCAGCTACTCGTTGAAAAGAGGACTTGGGATCAAACCAGCGAACGTAGGTCCAGCTTGCTGGAGTGAATTGTAAAACGGCTCTCTTGATTTTACCTGTGGTAGTGTGAATGTCCCTAAAAGCAGACAAGGAGGAGATCAATGTTGCAGTTTTGCTTAGTGATCATAATTCAAAACTGTGGTATTGTTGCAGATTTAAGTCCTTTAATCTATTCAGCAAGCAAGCAATTTTCTCAATAGAAATGTGCAATCAAATGCTCATTCACACAAAGGCTTTCCTCCCTAAATGTATCAAAGCGGAGAGAACAATTCCTTATGTTACTCAGATAGACACTGTTACTACACACTACTACTTTTTAAAAGTTGCTTTCAAGGAAAAGGATTTTAAAATTCTAGGCTTTCCCACCCAATTTTTAATCATTTGACAGATGTTCTTAGAATTAAGGACAAGTGAATAAAAAGTCACCAGTGATTGTATCAATGCGAATGTTAGCATTAAAGGTGCCTTTGTAGAAATTTCTATTTGCTTTTTATGTACATAAACAGTTTCCAAGTACACTTCAAAGTCTCATGTGTGAGGTTTCATTTCTATTCTACAACAGTGGCTTCCATTCTAGCCTCTTCCAATTCTATAGGACCTTCCAGGTCCTGCATTCACATTCCTGATCCTGAAGATCTGAGATCTTCTGGAGCATCAACAGTGTGGCTGAAAGAAGTGGAATCTCCTCTAAATTACCAGGATAAGACACTTTCCTGCTTAATGTCTTTCAGTATATCTGAAGCACAAAAATAACTAAGGATATCCACCACTATTTTTTTATTTGTCACAATGGCATTCAGAGAAATTTCTCCCTCTCACTCTGGCAGGACATGATCAATACTAAAACTTCAAACACTAATTTGAAAATCATCTTTCTGCACTCCAGCAACTGCAAGATGAAATCAATTTTACTTCAAGCTCTATGGATTTACTGTTACATGGATAAATGATTGTGTACATAGTGTAGGTAGTTGAGAAGTATATCAAGAAAGACAGGTTTGTTCTTCTAATTCTATTGCCAGGGTAAAACACAAGGAGAGTAACCAGAAAGGAAAATAGATAAAACAAAGGTTCGTATATGGAAATAATGTTTTTCAGGCACAGCTCTCAGAAGATGGAACTAACTCGGTTTTTTAAAATGCTCTTACCGTTATACCAAATTCAACATAGAAAAAAACAAGAAACATGGGAAACCATTTCATAATTTCACCCTTCAACGGTATACTTAACAACAAGCAATATGAAACAATTTGTTTTCATGCTCCAATCCCACAAAATTAATCACACAGTAGAAAGGACTTCCTTGAGTCCAGTTATTTAGCAAGAAATGGAAGTTGTTTGTCATTACCATCTCCTGCAATAATTTTTAATTTCTCAATCTAGTCTATATTTCTAAGATTTTTCTGGTTGTCTCTCATCCAAGTTCATGTCTACTTATCTTATGAACCCAAATCAGCTAATTTCTAATCAATTAGAAACTAATAACAAAGGTTCTTTCTAAAAAGTTCTTAGATTACTCATCCAAATGAATCTATAGGTGGGTCCATATGATTCTCAACATCTATTCCAGTAGATATAACTGGAAAACTAAGATTATTCCAAATTACAATTCCTAGCACAAGTACATGTAGTATTTTCAGTAATACAAAGAGCTCATAAATATGAGCTTAAACAAATATATTTAAATGGCCTACAATTAAATTATCCCTGTAATTGGCAACTTTCACTATACAAGTAGTCCTTGACTTACAACAGTTTGTTTAGTGACCATTCAAAGTTACATCAGTATTGAAAAAAATTGACTTATAATTATTTTTCATGTTTATGACCACTGCAGCATCTCTGTGGTCACATGATCAAAATTCGGACCCTTGGCAACTGGTTCATATTTGTGACGGTCACAGTGTTCTGGAGTCACATGAACACCTTTTGCGATCTTCTGACAAGCAAAATCAATGGGGAAGCCACATCCACTTAACAATTACGTTGCTAACTTAACAACTGCAGTGATTCACTTAAGCAAGAAAAGTCATAAAATGGGACACAACTCACTTAACAAATGTCTCATTTAGCAACATAAATTTTGGGTTCAGTTGTGGTCATAAGATGAGGACTACCTGTATTCCTATGAAACTGCAATATAATATCTCATTAAGACAGTATTTATTGGATACTACTTGAGACCTACTTGAAGCTTGCCCAGTGATAAGTTCTCATCTCCAACCAACGGCAAACCACCATGCCCAACCAGATGCCACCTCCATTACATAATAGGATATCCAAAATAACTTGATCCCACCAGCATTCAGCAAAATTCGGCAGCAGATGCATGAAGAACAGCTACAGAATACAACAGAAATTTTGGTAAGAAATTCATTCTGATTCCTTTCAACACAAAAAAACAGAATTTGAAAACATATACACACACATATACAAACACATAACATATGATACTTTATACCACATACATACAAACACATTATAATTTATGGTAAGACTAATTAAGCAATATGTATGTGTGCATATTGTTTAATTAGTCTTATCATAAATTATGATATACTAGTGATAGTTTTATTTATTTACGGTAATGCCCTAATTTAAAGAAAATGTTTTGTATTTTCAACAATGTTCTATCCTTTTATCCATGTCATACTAGTAATTCACTGATTACCAGGGAAAGGTTTTGAAGGGTAGCATCTGTATAAAGCTGGACTTAATTCAACTAATTTATTATAGATCCATGCAGATGGACACAACAGAATATAATAATAGTTAACATTGCATTTCCTGTTTTAAGTCTCCATATGCTCTAGAAAATAAGGTTTTAACAAGTATTCAGAAGAAAATATTGGGCACTTTGGGAAGGATGTGTCAGAAATCCTTAATAATCTAAAGGACTACTGAGATTTTTTGAGACATCTGTTACATAAAATCACTTGGAGCAATCACTGTTGAGTTCAGGAATGAGCCTGCTGAGTTGGCTTTGGTGTGATATATTGGACTACACCAAGGCACTGTAGCAAAGGGCTGCCCTTGAAGAGTACTCAGAACTGTAGCTGAGCTAATTCTACAGAAAAGAATTAGAACTGTATTTTGCCACATAAAACTAGCTGTAGGGACTTCACATTTATTTCACATACATGCGTAGGTATCCTATATAAATTTCTTTCCTTTATAAATGAAAAGGTGGGCACATTTTGCTACATCTGACTCAGGCTGCCAGATAGATAGATAATAGAGATTTCACTCCAAAGATATACCTTTTATCCCAAAGGTGCTTTTTCATATACCTTTTATTTCTGCAACAACGCCACTGGGAAAGACTTCTGTATGGTGTCAACTGCAGTGAAGCTCTCAGCATTGTTTGGCACATACCAAACATCAAGTCATGGTAGGTGCCCTGTGCATTCATCTTTTTTCAGTGCCCATTACCCAACTTACCTCTGTCAGCTCCCAGGTGATGCTAATAGTCCAACACAATCCATAGCTGCGAATCAACAAAGCCTTCATTGCCCAGCCCCAGAAATGCCCAAAAGCAAATATGTCAAAATGACTTAGGATTCGTTCCCAGGTAATAACATGGCAATTCACAGCATATTCCTGTTGATGATTNCACACATCTCCTCCCATCTCTGCTCTTTTGCCCCATACTGCAGCCATCCACGACAATACTAAGTCCCTGCAATGCCCAGCTGATCTTAACCACCTTTCTACCTCTGCTGTCGAGAAGTATCCAGCTTGGCCATATGTGAGGCCATTGCTAGCCAGGCCAGGCCTTTTTCCCGAGGTCACTTGTGTTTTTCTCCAAACAGCATGCCCCATTCTCTCATTTTAGAGAGTCTTTGGAATGTATCTGAAGTCTTCTGAAGCATCACAAGAATGGGATGTGCTATGTGGAACGCTAGACTGCATTTATTTATAGGACCAAATCAAAAGCTTAAAAATACGGAACTATTAATGTTAGCCACCAAATTAATAATTGCACAACACTGAAAATGTCTAGATAACATAACAATTGAGTTGTGCATTAATAAGACCTCTTCAATTGCTAAATTAGTACAAAATTGCTACATTAGAAAAAAATTACAAGCAAAGTTAAATTAATGAGATATTAGAGGCAAGAACCATAATTATATCAAACTTGGATGGTTTTTATAATTTATCTCAATAGCAATAGACTATAATCTGGTATACTCTATACCAGTGGTTCTCAACCTTTTTAATGCCGCGACCCCCAACCGATCGTAAGTCGAGGACTAAACCGGTTGTAAGTCGAGGACTAAACCGGTCATAAGTCGAGGACTAAACCAGTCGTAAGTCGAGGACTACCCAGCCGGTCGTAAGTCGAGGACTTTCCCTGCCCGGGAGCGCCGCGCATGCGTGGTTCCGCCCCCTGCGCCGGCCGAGGCGTAGCTGGCAAGCGGCAAAGATGGAGCAGGCCGGCCACCAGCTGGCCCAGCCCAAGGGAGGTAAGGCACCCACCGGAAAAGGGGAAAAAATGGCGGACAGCCTTGCTTGGCGACCCCCGTGAAATGGTCGATCGACCCCAAATGGGGTCGCGACCCATAGGTTGAGAACCGCTGCTCTATATCTATGGCAAATTTTCAGTTGTATAATATCTATCTCTTTATTTACATTGCAGTATATCTCCTTGGCATTCTCAATATGTATGCTGAACCATCATTAATGTTTTTTTCTGTAGCAGGCTTCCATCTATACATATGAAGGAACTAGGTGAAGATTTACAATGATGAACGTAAAACAGTCAAAAATTACCTCACAGTTGGTGCTGTAATAATTCCAATGAAGAGAATCCTACCCCAGCTTAAAGAGTGACTTGCTTGAAAAACAAAGATATGCTTCAAGAAAAAGGTGTTCAACTCTGTCAACTAAAAAGAAAGAGGCAGGGAGAAAAATCAATATATTCATCTGGACAAACAAGACAAAAACAGAGCCATAAAACAAGTTTGGCTCATTCCAGAATAATAATATATACTTAGTTAGTGAATGCATAGCTATTTAATTATATAGCGAATTGGTTAGCTAATATATGGTATATATGAAATCAATATATACAGCATTTATGTAGCAGCGAATGAAGAATTTGCATTGTATTTCTCTCCATTAGAAGAATGAGACTGGTTTTAAATGATCATGTTTTACTGATAAAAGAAAACACATTCATTTTTCTCTTTTATTATTCTGGTATTATGAAATTATAGATGTTCTGGAACAATACATAACTGGCTGATATGGGGGGGGAGTGCCAGAGACTAGATTTGTACAATGTGCTAAACCAGGGGTCCCCAAGCCCCAGTCTGTGGACTGGCACCGGGCTGCGGCATACTATCCCCACGGGATGCAGGCAGGACATGAAACCATGCCCCCTCCGGTCCGCAGAAAAACCTCTCTGCACAGAACCATCCCTGGTGTCCAAAAGGTTGAGGGCCGCTATGCTAAACCATGGTTTGTAAGCCTAATATATTAAAATAACCCACAATAACTTCATCCGTCGATCATACAAAACCATAAACTAATTTACAAACTAGGTTCAATGGAATCAAACAACCACGCTGTTTTAGCCCAAGTGCAAGCCTGATCTGAATGTTGGCTATGGTGAGGAAAGTGTTTATATGACAGCAGCTGTAATCAGTTAATCAGAGCTGGAAGAGACCTTTGAGGTCTTCTAGTCCAACCCCCTATTGAAGAAGGAGACCCTATACCATTTCAGATAGGTATGTCCAGTCTTTTCTTTAAAACCTTCAGTGATGAAGCACCTACAACTGCTGAAGGCAAGTTGTTCCACTGGTTAATTTTCCTCACTGTTAGGAAGTTTCTCCTTAATTCCAGGTTGCTTTTCTCCTTGATTAGTTTCCATTGTTTCTTGTCTTGCCTTCTGGTGCTTGAAAAATAAGTTGACCCCCTCTTCTTTGTGGCAGCCCCTTAAATACTGGAATATTGCTATCATATCACCCCTAGTCCTTCTTTTCTGTAGATTGGCCATACTCAACTCCTGCAACCATTCTTCATATTTTTGTCTCCAGGCCCTTAATCATCTTAGTTGCTCTTCTTTGCATTTTTTCCAAAGTCTCAAAACTTTTTCGTAATGTGGTGACCAAAACTGGATGTTGTATTCCAGGTGTGATCTTACTAAGGCATTATAAAGCGGTACTAATACTTCACGTGATTTTGATTCTATGCCTCTGTTTACACAACCAAGGATTGTATTAGCTTTTTTGGCTGCTGCCAAACTCTGCTGGCTCATGTTTAAGTGATCATCCACTAGGACTCCAATGAATGAACAATGAATCAATGAACAGGACAGGAATCTTGGGGCAGGAGAGCGACCAATAAAGAAAAAGAATTAGTTTGAAGATGTGTCTTATCAATTAAGATTAAGAGTATAACTCTTCAACTTTTGCATAATAAAAGTAGGAATAAATACTTCTGGAAAAAAATAATAAACGTTAAATCATTTTAGGAAAATGCTAAGTAGTTGGATGTATTACATAAGTACAGTATTTAAAAACAGGTAGCATTGCTTCCTGTATGAATAATTTGCCTACTTAGCTGATCAACTTAGCAAATTATCTCACAAGGAGATCATAATGTTATTATTTCTTTTGTAAATACATTTCCCTTTGAGTTTATCTGAAGAGAATTATCACGCTTGAATCATTCCTTATACGCACAACTATGGCACTCCTGCTTTATAACAAATATATGTATATCTAGCATTTCCCTGGAATTCAAGCCAGCAAATGATACTATTTCATTTGGTTATGCATTAACACAGGGTCCTCAAACCTGGCCACTTTAAGACTTGTGGACTTCAACTCCCAGAATTCCCCAGCCAGCCATGGCTGGCTGGGGAATTCTGGGAGTTGAAGTCCACAAGTCTTAAAGTGGCCAAGTTTGAGGACCCCTGCATTAACAAAACAAATATAATCTGCTCCCCAACAAAACATCAGCTAAGTCTTCACTTATATTTTACCTGCCAGATGATCATGAAAAGGTATATCCCAGCTACTCGTTGAAAAGAGGACTTGGGATCAAACCAGCGAACGTAGGTCCAGCTTGCTGGAGTGAATTGTAAAACGGCTCTCTTGATTTTACCTGTGGTAGTGTGAATGTCCCTAAAAGCAGACAAGGAGGAGATCAATGTTGCCGTTTTGCTTAATGATCATAATTCAAAATTGTGGTATTGTTGCAGATTTAAGTCCTTTAATCTATTCAGCAAGCAAGCAATTTTCTCAATAGAAATGTGCAATCAAATGCTCATTCACACAAAGGCTTTCCTCCCTAAATGTATCAAAGCGGAGAGAACAATTCCTTATGTTACTCAGATAGACACTGTTACTACACACTACTACTTTTTAAAAGTTGCTTTCAAGGAAAAGGATTTTAAAATTCTAGGCTTTCCCACCCAATTTTTAATCATTTGACAGATGTTCTTAGAATTAAGGACAAGTGAATAAAAAGTCACCAGTGATTGTATCAATGTGAATGTTAGCATTAAAGGTGCCTTTGTAGAAATTTCTATTTGCTTTTTATGTACATAAACAGTTTCCAAGTACGCTTCAAAGTCTCATGTGTGAGGTTTCATTTCTATTCTACAACAGTGACTTCCATTCTAGCCTCTTCCAATTCTATAGGACCTTCCAGGTCCTGCATTCACATTCCTGATCCTGAAGGTCTGAGATCTTCTGGAGCATCAACAGTGTGGCTGAAGGAAGTGGAATCTCCTCTAAATTACCAGGATAAGACCAGGGCTTTTTTTCAGCCGGAACGCGGCGGAACCGCGTTCCGGCACCTTTTTCCAGGCCGGCCGCACCGGGCGCAACATCTGGGGGGGGCGCTCGCACTCGCAGCTCTCTGCCCCTGCCTGGCTCACAACCGCGGCCATAGGGAGGCTCGGTCGGCGCGCCCCTGGCCCGTTTCCTAGGCGACCCTGCCCGAGCAAGAAGCGGCAGAGAATCCAGAGGCTCTCACGCCGGCGCCCTCAAAGCCAAACGCGCGCGGCTTCTCAGAGCAAAAGCCCCTCCCAAATTTTA